AAATCAATAGGGAAAGGTTTGAGAGAAGCATTGAGAGAGGAGAATGCATCATCAGCCAGAGGATTGAATGAGTTCCTGAAAGTGGTAGGTTCAAGTTAAGTGAGATGTGAATCACAGATATGATAGATATACATGGGGTTATTGTAGTGTCAGTAATACCAAGTCTCCTCAGCCCAAACTTGGATTTATATATAGTTGCTAGTATTATTCAATTAACAGCCTGTCAAATATTTGTATACACTTGATATTATTATTAACAGCTTACCCGTTATTTGTTCCTTGCTCATGTATCAGTTGTTTCTGGAAGTTGTGTAAAGATTTAAATTTTAGATTTATGTGAATAAAGATCATAATTATTTATCAGCAGAGGATTATGGTTTCTCTTTTGAGTGAAAATAATAATAATAAGTTCAAGTCATGCGGATTAGATGTTAATATGTTAGGATGGATAACAGTTGTCTAAACTTTATTGAATTGTTATGGTTAAGAAAGTGATCTCTTTATTAGCAAAGTTGTGTTGTAAAGAATACAAATATAGAGTTAACAAGATAAATAGTTACATTAGCATCGGATTTATGTGCAATGGCACTACTTTTGGGTTTTTTTTGTGCTTGAGTAATCAAAGATTATTCAGAAGAAATCTAAAGATAATTACTTAATTAGAATTATTGATATAATTTTTTTACCATGAAACCATATTTTCACCTGGAATCTACAGATTAATGTTTGCATATTGTTAATTCTTGCAAGTTTAGCATTATTCCTGTCCATGGTCCCAACGAGGCCCTTAAATTTTTTTGAACTGAAACTTTTGCGCCAGTCCCAAGCAGAATTTTGGCCAGGCCAGGCCAAAATTTAAAGCATTCATATACTAATCATAATATTCATATAGTTGGCATGTTGTAAAGGACTTCGCGAGGTATCGACAATCTACTTAATCTCAACATTCGAAAACAATTCTCTTCATTATATTGGTGTGCAATTTCTTTGTCCTATATTCACATAAAATATGATGCAAGTTACGTCGTCACTTTAGGTCTAATGATCAAACTTTTGATCAAATTAATGTAGATAGATATAGACTGACAGTCAACTTATCTAACATATGGAGATGTCACTTATCTGTTCTAGACAAATCAGGCATTATAAATGTTAGACCAGATTGATAGAAGTAGTGTCAACATGTTTAATTTCTTTTGCAAACTTTCATGAGGCAACCTTTGTTGATAGACCTTGTTGAAATTAGCATTTCTTCTTCTTTTTTTGGGCGCGAGGGAGAGAGCGGAGCAAAGCCTTGTCAAAATTAGTTGGAACACCTTGCTGATACATATACTGACATACTGTCACATTGTTGCTTTGGTGATATAAATGAACCTTAATTTGCTGTAATTCTTTCAGGGCTCAAGAGGGATCTATTGAGGGCATCATTTCAAATTTATCAAAGAATATTCTAGATTTTCCAGCTGCTTCAATAACATTTGTTATGCACTAGAATGTCCTCTCATGGTTAAGAATAGCAGAGACATCTAATTGGTTTGATTATTTGCAAATTAAAGGGAAGGTAAAATGGAACCAAAGGATAGCATAATTTGGTCCTCACTCGTTGAAAAAATGTTGGAATTGTCTCTCGGGTTCAAAGATTATGGTCCCCGAATCGGTTGTAGTAGAGAAATAAAAAAAAAGTTGCACGATAACACCCTGTAACAGCAAGGAAGAAAGAGGAACTTGAGCCCCAAAAAGTCAATTTTTTTGGACAATATCAAAGTCTCTTTTAAATTTTATGAATAGTGATTTGTGGACAATGTCAAAGTTTCTTTTAAAATTTATGACGATTAGTTAGATGAAATATTTTCCAAGACATCACATTTGTTTAAATAGACTTTTAGGTTCTATTTAGCCCCCCCCCCCCCCCCCCGGTTCACGCGTGGGTTATTTGCTGAGGTTATAAAAGATAGGTGGTGGAAGTTTAACCCATTTGTAAATGGGACTAACAGGGAATTCATTTTAACCCCTCAAGTTGGATGGAGTTCACATACATCCTTGTCAGGCGATAACTACAAACCTTTGCAAAATCTAGAACCACCAAAATGCGCTCTTATGTAAGCGGCACTTGTGAAAGTAATCCCTTTGTCTTCATCCAAAGCATGATTCAGAAGAAAATTCTTCCCATCATAATAAGTTTTATGACAACAGTAAATAATTTCCTTAACAGCGGCTATCCCCATCAAGTATGTTCATGTCTCTAATTGTGAACAGCGAGTCTCGCTGGGGACCACACCCACATGAACAACAAGACACAAACCCTCCCACGCGAGACAGCCGCGGGATTTTCCAAACCTGGGTTTGGATTGTTTTTTGAGCCCTGTTCTCTTCTTATTAATATGAGTCTTCTTCTAGGGTTTTTTATATGAGAAGAAAACAAGGGTTTCTTTGGTGGCTAGAAAAGAGAGATCTTGAGGAGAGAGCTTTGGAGAAATTTTACAAGAGAGAGGTCAATTTCTTTTGGTTTAAAAAAATCAAATCTTCTTTTGAGATGAGCTTGTGGATTGTACAAGTCGTCAGTGTTCTCTTCATAATAGAATCTCCCCTTCCCCTTCCCCGTGGACGTAGGCAAGTTTGCCGAACCACGTAAATCTCGTATCTTTACTGTTTTCTGGTGTTGGCTATTGCTTGTAGGTTCCCTCGACAATTCAGTCCTAGAACTGATGATATCTCACTTTGTTGAGATATTTCACTTCTGTTCTTGTTTCCTTCGCGAAACAGGAACATAGAGGTTGGCTTGAGCTTTTGTGAAAACAAAAGCCAGAGTTTTCTCTCGGGTTATATCGCTTCCGCGACGTGAGGGCGTGACTCTGCGCCCAACAACTGGTATCAGCGCAATTGGTTAGAGAGAATGGATTATTAATCAAGTGGAGGATGGCGTCAACTAGTAAGACGGTTAAAGTTGGAAAGTACGAGATTGAAAAGTTCAATGAGAAGAACGATTTTTCCTATTGGAGAATGCATATGAAGAATTTGTTGATTTCGCAGAAATTACACAAGGCTTTGACTGGAAAGGAGAAGCATAAGGATATGTCTGATGAGGATTGGGAGGAGCTAGATCTGGAAGCACGGACGTCGATTATCCTATGCCTTGAGAGAGATGTAGCTTTCTTGGTAGATGGAGATAAAACGACTGCGAGCGTGTGGTCGAAGTTAGAGAGCACCTTCATGACGAAAAGTCTAATGAACCAGATCTATTTAAAATCCAAATTGTATACTTACAAGATGGAGGAGGGCTCATCAATCCGGGAATACATCAACAAGTTCGATAGGATAATATTGGATCTGAAGGACATCGATGTGCTGTAGAAGACGAGGATCAGAATCTTCTACTACTTCTATCTCTACCGAAATCTTATGAGAACCTGGTACAAACACTGATGCTTGTGAGAGATAATTTAACGATGAATGAGACTAGAACGATGCTTCTAGCAGATGACCTTCGAAAAATTACAACTAGTGACATGACTACTGGTGGTAACAAAGAACAGACACAGGGGTTGTTTGCTAGAGGAAGGGACAATGAGCGAGAAAAAGGCAATGGAGGAAAGTTTAGATCTAAATCAAGACCTCTTGCTGAAAGAGCGTATTTCAAATGCGGTAAAATTAAGCATTTCAAGGTCGACTATCCAAATAAGAGAGTAGGTGGGAAGAAGAATAACAAGACTGAGAGAAGAAAAGACAAGGAAGAAACGAGCTATGCTTCAAAAGAATGGAGCGATAAGGAATGCTATGTCGTCACGGGTGGTGAGGATATCTCCGAAAAGTGGATTCTTGATTCAGGTTGCTCTTACCATATGTGCCCAAATAGAAAATGATTTACTACCTACAGAAGCATTAATGATGGAACCGTATTAATAGGGAACAACCATGCTTGTAAAACGGTAGGGCTAGGTAATATTAAGATCAAGATGCATGATGGAGTGGTCCGAACGTTGACGGATATGAGGCACGTTCCTGACTTGCGAAAGAATATTATCTCAGTTGGTGCATTGGACTCCGGTGGTTGTAGGATTGTTACAGAGAACAGAGTGAAGAATGTTGTTCGGGGTTCCCTTGTAGTGATGAAGAGTGTTCGTCACGGTAATTTATATACTCTCTCAACTACGACGGTGACGGGAGATGCAGCGGTTGGAACTAAAAAAATGGTGAAGACCAATGTGAGCACACACGGTTATGACATATACGACTTGGGCACATATCAAAGAATGATCTAGTTTTGCTTGGTAAGGAGGGTCTGCTGAAGAATCTGAAAAAACATTGCATGAATTTTTACGAGGATTGTGTGTACGGAAAGGCGCACAAGATCCAGTTTCTAAGAAGCAAGTTTAAGAGCAGGGGGATACTAGATTATTACACACGAACGTTTAGGGTCCGGCTCAAACAACTTCCAAAGGGGGTTCTAGATATTTTGTCTCGTTCATAGATGATTATTCGAGGTATGTTTGAATTTATTTTCTAAAACATAAGAATGAGGTGTTTGAAACATTCAAGAAGTGGAAGACAATGGTTGAAAACAGGACAGGGAAAAAATTAAAGGCACTGAGATCTGATAACGGTACAAATACACAGATGGTGCATTCAAGGAGTTCTGTGATCATGAGGGCATTGTTCGACACTGGACAGTCAAGTCAACACCACAGCAGAACGGGGTCGTGGAGAGACTGAACCGAACATTACAGGAGAAAGCAATGAGTATGTGATCTCATGCTGGATTGGGCAAGGAATGATGGGCAGAAACGGTGACTATAACTTGTTATATTGTGAACCGTTCTTCACATTCTATATTGGATGGTGATACACCCTATAGGGTATGGTTAGGGGAGCATGCATATTATGAGAGGCTCCGGATTTTCGGATGTATCACCTATTATCACGTCAACGAGGGAAAGCTTGATGCGAGGACCAAGAAGGTAATATTCTTGGGATATGCAAAGGGTGTAAAAGG